GCGGTTTTATTGTGAAAAAATAATACATAAAAACAGCGAAATTGAGCACACTGTTGCACTTTTAGCTCAGCTTCTGCCTTCAAAAATTCAAGTAGGCTAGCTGCACGTTTTGGCCCAGCATTGAGGCGAACGTGGCTCTGTACGACCTAAATTTTCAATTTCACGCATAATTTCTTAGCAAAGTAATGATCTTTTATGGCTTATAGCTTCGTCTAGAAAAGCGATAAGCAGGTAAGGAAGACAGATTTAGAGTCAGCGTTTCATGCTGCATATAATGATATGCAGCTTGTCTGGATTGGCCACTTCGATTTCTGATCATTCCCTTGTCAGAATGATATAACAAACAAATCATCATCATGGTCTCATTAACCTCATTTTTGCACTAAGGTGCCCAGTGCTTCCTGAAACAGGGCTTGAAGATATGGTGGAAAAAGGGGAGGGTGAGTGTTTACGAATATTTACCTGACCCTAACCAGATAAATCTTTCAACAGCGCCTAACTTATAATACTTAAAACATTATATTTAAAAGCTTTACTCATGTTGCAAGATCCCCATCCGTAAGAGAAAGTTTAACTTAGGTCAGAACTTCAATTCTTTTCAAGAGACAACAATTGCTGACCAAGATGATTTTTAATGCTTAAGTCTTACTCGGCAGATATATACAAAGCGCCTTTCCAAGTCATTGTTTGGATCTTTCGGGGATGGTAACTTGGCATTAGATTACTCTAATGCCGAGTTACCATCCCCGAAGGTAGAGGTCTAGTTGGCCCAGGGGCGGGATAGAGACTTGGTCCGACCCGGTCATAGCGGCTCCTCGTAACACTACACCACTAGTCCTCGTGAGAGTAGAGTATTCAAACTATATTTTTTCTACATGCAGTGACTTTTACACACTTCAGTCTCTTCGAGAGCAAATGTACGAGAATCTAATTATTTTACACTAGATGGTGACCCGGTCCTATGGTGCTAAGTCAAAATCATTCGGGAATGAGAAATAAGATGCATTCTCTTTCATTTCCATATTAGCTTGCCATTCTCATCCCATTCTCCCCTCCCTCGGCAGCCTATATCCCTACACGCCGCAGCAGTAAGTGGATACATGAATTTTAGTCTCGCATGAACGATCTTGCGACGATGGCAGCGGCATCCGAATAGAGGAATAATACTTTGAATAAGTTTCGCCTCCGCAGGCCACTGCCCTACTGCACATGGTAGTTCATAGGATTGTTTCATACTGCAGTAGCGGCAGCAACGACAGTCGATCGATCGATATCTATTGCAGGCCCCATCATGACTACATTTGTTGCAGCAACTGCAGTATGAAACAGCTCATACCATGCTAGGAGCAGTCCGTGAAGGAGGTGCTCAATGGAAGCTCACTTTTCCCGTGGTGGCGCAGTTGTGACAAGAGAAGCCGCTCATCTTAGATGGGCAAGAGACATCTATCTAGAAGTAGTTTGGAAGCTGGTTTCGAATATGCTGTTCATAGTTGCGGAAAGTCATTCTGAAGCTAGTTATTGATCTTTTTGAGCAAATGAACTCATTGTTCTCATTCCAATGATTGTGTTCAATCCAGAAGGTTATGCGAAAAAGTTAACAAATCGGTGAAAAAATCTGACAAATTTTGGCGAAAAATAGCCAAAAAGTTCGCTGGGCTTGAAAACGAATGCATGCAAACTTGGTTACTTTTGTTTTTCTATTGAAGTTCTTATAACTTTGACAAATTTGGACTTGGTAGAGCTATGCTCTTAGGTTTTTGAGAAAGACTCTCTGCTACAGTTATATGTTCTAGCTAGATATTAGCTGAGACTTTCAAATTTGAGGGATCAAGTGAACTAGATATAGATAAATCTGCTTAGTACTTGAAATATCGATGTACGACAACGTTCTTTCAGCTTTGCTCTATTTTCATCTTAATAGCTCATAGCACGTGGTCGCGCAGCATGATAGCGTTTATTGGAAATGTGTCTAAAGTTAGTTTCTCAAGCTTACTGTTGTTTTTACTCATTGAAAAGACATGGTGCTTGAAGGGATAAGTTCTCAAAAACACATTTACGGTGATGAGTTCGAAATAGGAAGAGACATATGGGTCGACAGCCGGTGAGAATAAAGAAACTGATAGATGGCTGAAGGGAGCAATAGCATCTTTGAACAACCACGTACAGCCTTTATAGATCAAGCTATGGCTTTTTGAGAAAAACTACTTTTTCGTTTATTTATGAGTAAAACAGTAAAAAGATGAGCTATGGAGAGAAAGTCACAGTCCTAGTGCAGAGAACGGCGACAGTATTTTATAAGGAATGTCATTAAATAGTGATACAGAATTATATGTGTGCGTAAACAAAGTATATGTGGACGGCAGATGTGCTCTTCACTATTTGAACTGATGAGCGATAATGATTTTAGACCCGACAACGCAGTAACAGCGTGTTCGGTGAGACCGGGCATGCTGGACATTTGATTGTTTGATCCCATGCGCATTCCACAGTTGATTTCAAAAAAGTCGTATCGTTCTATGTTTTCACCAACTTCCTTGCATCAAACATCACAGGTGTTTCTCGTCACATGCATTTTTGAGCAATGGTAATCCTCTAATCATGTGGGATTTTTTTTGACATCCTCATAGAAGTTAATGTAAAAAACGGCTATATGTTTGGTTTCCACAGCCATATCTTGTATACGCGAGCTACGCATATTGGAAAGAATAACCACAACGGACTAAACTCGAATAGATGCGGCTGTAGTTCTTCTCTAAGCTTTCTCCGTAACTCCTGCAAGTTCGCCGAGTACATTAGCATTTGAGAAGGCAATCATTACGTCTATCTACGATGCGCTGTCCGCGACCATGCAGCTTGGGTGCAAACGCACTACTATGTCGTAAACAACCTTTAGCAGATGACAAAAGCAGATTTTTTTACTAATTATAATCACCATGGCGCATAATTTGGAAATCTGTTGCAACTTTTGACCAATTTCTGCGAGGAGTTTGAGTCGTTGTGGCGTACTCCTTCTTTGAAACGTAGAATGAACATATAGGACGCTCGTCTGATCAAGCAATCCCATCGACAACGAAGAACACCCAGTACTACATTGTTGTGTTGGGTCACAGAGCATTAAATGGTGATGATGGGGTACTCGATCAAATATGTTGCTGTTTTGACTTTCAAGTTCAGCAAAATCGATGATAACAAGCAAATAAAGAAACTCTTTACACAGAGGTACATACGTCACAAATAGCCTTTCAAGAATAACAAAGAAAGTGCTTCAGCTTAATTGGTATCTGAAACTACCATTTGCTAAGTTTGACGGCGTTTGGTGAAAAACTGGCTTTGGTCAATGAAAACACCATTAGTTGCTTTTTTACGTGTTTTTGACACCCCAACAATTATATTTTTGCTAGAATAATAAATAGACAACCCATGGGACGATCATACAGATCTTGTTAGAAATCAGAACTGCTTTTAGAACATTATAAAATACTAAAAATATGCTAATTGTTGTCCATCTGGCAATAAAAATCGCGCCTCTTGATATGCACCCAAGATTTTGGTGTATCTACAATTTCGTGGTTATGGCAGAAAGCCGGTAACGGCAGCAGCCACGTCCACGAAAAATTCGATGTACAAAACTACTTAAACTTCTGCAAAATTCATAACTTATCTATTATGAAATCAAGTCGTTTGCATGATTATTTTAGCGCATGTAAATCACCTTTGATCGCTACCATTAGCGTGAGCAGAGTCCTGCTCCCGGCTTTAGGGCCCAGTAAAAAATTTGAGCAGTCAGGCTAGACTTGGTTTTGTTTTTCGAGAACGTCTACGAGATTCCGCACATCGTTGTTTTCTTTTCAAGGATGGTTTGGCTAACAAAATCCACCTTTTGCACAAGTTCTTTACCCTTGTTTCCGATCTCGGCATCACCGAGATTTGAAGAATTGCAATCTTTGATTCCGAAATCAACTATCATCTTCCGTATCCAATTAGATCGTCCGGTACTTGGAGTCAAGCAAGTGCTCCGCCTCATCAGAGAGGATTTTGCTGTAAACTGAATAAGGAATGCTATTGGTTGTGAAAAGTACTTTGCTCGGACCTTAGCTCAGATTGTTTTCTTTCTCCAATTATATTTTTACTAGCTGAAATGCCTGGCTTTACTCGAGTTCTTGTCAGCATACATGATGGAACACACCTCTCCGTCCTACTTCTAGACAACATTTTCCTGTCTCAATCACGTTTTCTCGCCAGCGAAGATTCTGGGCAGCAATCACCCTCCTTGCGCATGCCTTTGGCTTGCATCACAGCAGTCTGCCATCGGAAAATAAGCTTCCCTGCTTGCATGAGTATGGGAAAATGCTCAAAACACATTAAGAGTTCATTTTTCTAGATAAGTAAACAAATCGATAAACCGCCTCAGAGACCCAGTAAATCGCCGCAAAAAGTAGCCAATATGAAGATATATGTGCGCGAAGTTTCAGCTCAATCGGTGAACGCTTAACGCCTCTTCAGATTATATGCATGGTACTCACATGCACATACAATACATGCAATTTTTCTGCTTTATAGAGAGAAATATAAGCTTCCCTCCTCTAGCGCGCGATGATGCTACCTTGGCTGATGGTGTAAGCGACATGTGCTGTTCAGCTACCAACATAGAAACTTTTAAGAGGTTTTGAGCCATCAATGCCTACATTTTGCAATACACAAACAAGGATTGAGTCGCTAATTATGAACATGACTTTCGCACTTTACCGTAAGGTTTTTTCATAAGTTATGTCAGATAATCTGCAACAACAGTTTATCAGTGTTTTTTCAATAATGTGACTAAATCATGTGAAACGCCCTGCGCTGGGCCGTATTTAGGACCCAAGGCCTTCAGTTCTCGATTTACATGATTTTGATCCATCGAAGATTATCTTTCAACATTTTATCATTTATTATGTATGTGAAATCTAAGTGAATTATATACAACGTGTTCGTTATTGGGAGAAACCATGAAGTCGAGATTAGAGATTTGAGAGTGCGATAAGTAGTACGCCAATGATACCTACTCCGATAGCACCAGCCAAGAAAAGTAGATTATTTCGGCCCTGAAACGAAAACGATGGACGGAATCAAGCATTATAAATGACTAACCGCGATTGACTTAAATATCACGACATCAGCGATAGCACTAATAATCGCAGGTAACTGGAAGTAAAATATTTTACAGCGGAATTTGAGCTGAAATGGCTTACCCGTGTTGTAATGGGATAAGCGACAACTTGCGAAAGCTTGTGACTCGACAAGAACCAAAAAGTCATTCCGGAGGACCAAAGAAGTCCGTACAATGCAGATGGAATTACTAGCTCACGAGAAATATAGGCTTTTTCGCGACGTATCGCACAGTACAGGAAAAAGTAAAGCGTTGAGAATACGAAGACCGTCGAATAGAATGACCAGATGTAATCAAATACTAAAACATATAATATGTCTATTTGCCTTCCACTGGTTTAATATGCACCTCTGTATTCATCCGTGGATGGTTGTCGTTGTTGTAATACCTCTAGTGGTGTCATCATCAATCCGTGAAGAACAGCGAGCACGCATGTCATGAGAACATACCTATATTTGCACCTTCAGAACAGTTTGCGAGTTGCGAATGAATCTTGTCTTGAAGACTTCTCTTTTAAATGGCTATTCTATGTACCCTCTGTCTCACTGGCAGTGACCTTTCTTGAGCAGCTCGAAATTCGAATGACGACTTGGCCTGGACTCTGCATCGCGTTCGCGAACGTGCCGTCTGATTATTTTCACAGGCCTAATCAGCGATAAAAGTTGTCTCTAAATTCTCCCTAAGTCAGGGCAAGCGTGGGAAAGGGTTTCAAGAGTCACTCGAGACGGCACCACCGTCAGTAGATATCCCAGCTAGTTTTACCATAATCGTGTGCCAACACATTCGGCAGCGATAATTCAGATGGATGAGAATGGAATATCGCCATTTGCCAATGCAAGATTCAAGAAATCTCGCTGTGCAGCTTACGTTAGTGGACCGTACTTGGGCTATTGTTGTTTGAAATAGTACTGCAAATGCCAGAGTTTTGTTTCTCCATGATACATATGAGTGTTTCTTAACACAATGACGACAACGTGACCCACATGATGTGTTATGCAATGACTGCCACGTAGGACAATGTGACCCACATGGTGAGTCATGACTTAAATTTTGTTGAATGATTACTATTCTGGAGTACATTTGTATCAGCAGTTCTCTTACGCTTCAATACTAAAAAGCGCTTCCACGTTTTTCAGCTGCTTCTTAGAATGACTGTAAGTATGCTGTAGATGACGATCTGCGTGATTTTAGCCAAAATTTTTCAACTTATTCGTGGAAGTCATTGTCCCACGAAGCAGACAACTAAAAATAAGCTTTGTCATAATGCGTTAAAGCTGCTTTCACAAGGTATTCACATAGAGCGTTCGGATCGGAAGCCAACACCAACACCTTTTGCGCATACATTTGTGACTTCAAGGGACGATCTCCGTTCTTTAATAATCACATGCTTACTTACGGAATCTTCTTGACGAGCTGAGACTTGTCGATCATTTGTGAGTTGTCCGCGGGTGATTTTTGATTTGATTCCACATTCAGATTCGTGCCTTGCTCACCATCATACGGAGATGTCTTTGGCTTATGATCTTCTTGCTTGACGAAGAGAAATAGTACGCCACTGCATGACATATATTATATTACTTTTACAGTACCAGAAGATTGCAGCCGAAAAACGTGCCTTACTAGTACAATTAGTATTCCTATGTAGTTTATGATAGTGTGCTTCACTTGTGTTCCTTCGACCCATCCAAACAACCCAAAACGAGCTACAGACCATCCGACAATAATCTAGAAAGTAACATTTCCATAAAAAGTTTTGGATGGGTATGTTTTACCTGCATTGATCCCCAAATGAGAAACCCAATGCCCATTCCAAGTCCATTCACGACGGGGACAGAGAAAACATTCCCTAAAATTGAATACATGTTTTGTGTTGTCTTCGATATATGGGGTACATTTTATATATAAGGCTGAATGTCTGTTTGTAATAAGTTTGAAAACTTCGTCTGTAAAGAGACGGAAACATCAACACTGAAATATTGAAACTGTTCCAAAATTTTCGCATCAGTATGAACCCAGCCTGAGTAAGCATGCTGATAAGAATTTTATTGAAACCAAGTTTGCCAGCTAGCAATTTTACAAAGGAAGATAAGGGAGACAGATTTGGAAACAGCGTTTTATGCCCTCCACCAGGGTATACAACACATCTCAAAAGGCTACTTCGCCAACCATCCTTCCCTTGTTAGTGGAAGTGGGTCGGAAAGTTTTTGAAATGTCTACATGTTTTATAAAATTGTGCAAGCGACTTGTTTCTCCCAAGATCAAAATGTCAAATCGTATAAAATTACTATTTAGCCTTATTGCAATTTCGGGCGTAGCTGCCGCTCACCCCCTCCCTCCCCCTAACACGCCTCTCAAAAGAAAAAATGTTTGGAAGCACTACCACGAAAAAAGGATCAGCAGCAAGTTACAGTCGAGTAGATTTTCGCTTAATATAGTGTGCTTGCACTATAGGTGAAATGCGGTAAAATTTGCGCGTAAACAATTAGCCACGCCAGTAATGCCGGCACTTTGCTCGCGCAATTGGTAGGCGTCACAGGCGTAGCTATTTCTTTACGCGCAAATTTTACCGCATTTCACCTACAGTGCAAGCACACTATATTAAGCGGGAAATCTACTCGACTGCACGAAGGAGCTTTACACGGGGTGACAACAAATTCAGCCTGAAAATCACAAAAGTTAGATATACCTGTTGCGTAAAGAAAGCCTCCGATACCGGCTATCCATTCGAATTGTGGAAAACCTCTAATGACATTGATGATGAAGCCAACCACAAGTACGACGCTGCATTCGACCCATTGCACGAAGAGACCTATAAGATAACACTTTATCAATCCTTGCCTGCAGGATCTCCTCACTTTTTCTTTCTCAGTTCCTCAGAGCGAAAATACTTTGTGAGATAACATTAAGTCACATGTAATTTCGTGCTGTATACGTACCATCTTTAGTATCATATCGCTTTAATGGTGTGAACATCATGCCAAACGATGCGCATGAAACCAGCAGGGCCACATAGCCCAGGGCAACACTGCCAAAGCTTTGCACGACTTCTGGCGCAATCGTTGCGGCTACCCCCGACATCTATAAATTATATAGAATTACGAAACTTGAGCACACATTTGAAAGGTGTGACGAAAAAGATCTGTACAAGATGCTAAGTAATGTATAACAATTTGAAAACAAAATGTGAACTTAAACAATCCTTTACGGGCCCAGAAATCTCACAGGATATAGCAAACTAGATCTAGTAGACGTCTACATCACAGTTCTGCCTATGGGGGGTACTCGAACGTTTGGACTTTTTACTTACTCTACACCTACCTAATAATGGGAAGTTATATGCACGTAACGTCTAGCCATTACTAATTTGGACAGCACTATTACGAAAAAGGCTTCGATCATAATACAAAACGCTTGCTATGCACTTTTTTCTGGCCTCTGGTATAAACAAATAGTTAGCAGCTGAAAATGCCATCTGATTCCAACACAAAAAAAAACTCAAAGCTTATTTGCATGGAATGCATATGAGATTTTCAAAAACTATGTTATAACGAAAAATTACACGGATTTTGTAATTTTCAAAAATTTTTTGAATGCTTCGGACTTGATTAGCAAGGAACTTATCTATTTTGAAGTGCAAAAATTTTAGAAGAAATTTTGGCTTTAACCAACAACAACGGATTGTGTGCTTCAAATTTACCAAGTGATAGAATTACTGAATTTAAGTGCTTGCTGAACCTACCTTTTTCTCGAAATATGCTCTCTTCATCATTTAAAATCAAAAAATGACGAATCGATAGGTGGATGCAACGCTTATTCTTCTGATGTTGGGCAGGATATACGCGAAATGATACGGTAACGAGATGTTTTGATCATAGACACCCAAAATCCGCTAAGGGTAAACGGCTATTTGGGGTGCTAATCAGCCCAGGCAAGGCAAGTACTGCGGCCCAACCATAGTATACATCCTATCTGGCGATAATAGTGATTTTTGCTCGAGGAAAATAACCAAATGCATTTGGGCTTCTGCGTATTATCAGATTGTTTTACTGAGTACTGTTTCATTAGCGCAATCAAAGTGAAATATGCTCTTCCTGGAGAACTAAACCATTGCACTGCTATACAATGTATTCTTTGCACTCTTTCTATTCTAGTATCTAGTGTGCGCTGCTAGATAATTTCAACGCTTACGCACTTGGTCACGAAATTTGCGAATTAGCCTATGTAAGTAATGGACTTATAGTTTCCACCGTAAATGAGAGCAGTATTTTTGAAAAATTCTCCGGAACTCAAACAGTTTTCAAAGGATTTTGGGTCGTGGCTTCTGCAACGCCTTTTCAAAAATTTTAGGGTTTAAGCAGGCAAAAAGTAAAAGAACTCCGGAAAGCCTTCTCTCACTGGAAAATTCTGTCGCGCTTCCCTTTTCCCAAAGAAATGTTGCACTGCCACTGCCTAATAGCTGCTTCTCTACTCTTGATGTTCATTCTTCAAGCTAACTCACAACACCAATGGATTTTTTCTTCATATAGGCAGATGAGGTAAGCCTTTATCTATATTCCGTCAGATACATCAGGTTCGACTTATAATTTGCTGTCAATTCGTGGACACAAATCGCTGCGTAGATAATTAGGGCAGAAAGCAATAAGCGATGAGAATTCTATGGTTTTGGTATTAGGTTGTCAAGAAAATAATGTCGTTTTTTCGGGTAAAACTGATATTACTCGAGAACTAAAACACATCCGAGTCCGAAATTTTATGGTTAAAGTTATGAAGCTTTGTAGTATACAGAAACATATGTGGGAGGGGCCCAGTACTAATGGGGGCGGAGTCTGCCATTTTCCATTTTTCGATTTTTTCTTGGTTTCTAAGCATGGAAACAATATAGCAAGTGTACTTATGGATAAGTGCATGTGTCTTTTACATGCAGGAGCAAGTGAGAAGTTCGCAGGATTTTCTAGGCAAAAATCCAAGTTTTGGCATCACGAGTTGCTCATATGTTTTGGCTCTGAACTTTGCGTAAACAAGTTCTGCCAATATTTGGATGCCATCTTGTAGAGCTTCCTTTGCTCTATCTAATGGTACCCCTCGCATAATTTTTTGGATTTGTCTTATGGCTTTGCTTCAAAAAACGACATCATTTTCTTGACAAGCTAATGAAATATCTGTAAAGTTGAACCTGGAAAGTTGCTGAGTATTTAGTTCGTAAGTAAGATATTATTAGAAAATGATACCCACTTTAGGATCCAGCAGTAATGCAGGTGAGCTCGCGGAGCAAATCTGTGGGTAGGTCCAAGAAGAACAACAAAATTCTATTTCAAATTCTTTAAGATTAAGAGTTTATATTTACAAAGATAATATGAAATAGCTCGTAAACTGGGAGATCCCACGCATTGAGTTCAGCTCTAAGTAAACGGTAAATTTCAAAAGCTTACGCCAAGCTATAAAACTGTGACATTGCCAGAATCATGAAAAACATCTCAACTAGTGCAATCAAAAGTTTCGTAAAGAAAGCTGTGAAAGAGAAATGGTTATCATCTTCGGCATCTGTAAATCCTAGATGTTGCTGTTCCGATCTATCGGAGCCATTTGACGCATAAAGTTGATTCATTCATTACTTTGGAACGTATGAAGATTATGTATATTTTGTCCAGTAACTTCACGTCCCTGTTTGTGGCAAATCTCCTTTTTTATGGTTTCCTCTCCTTTTACCAATTCCACAAACAATCTTGGAACTCTTTCGCCCGTAGTAAACCCACTTCACTTCAGATGATCTCAACTGAGGGGCTGAGTTGAGGTATTTAAGATAAACTGACTAGCGGTCACTCTCACATGCTTAAGAATGCGACCTGATCTGAAGGGTTAGAGTCAGGGCATGTGCCGCGATGAATTCACCTGAATTCCGTAAGAGCAGCCTCGATTTTGAGATGATTTGACCGAAATAGTGTGCAAGGGATGACACGCAGAGAAAAATCCCGTAATTGCTCGTGAGTAACTTACGGGACATTGTACTTGACGTATTGTTGCAGTAAAAGAACGCGCAAAACTGCACAATACCGGTGCTCAAAAAGGAAAGGATCGATGAACAGCTGATTTCGGCAAAAAACAGAAGAATAGGTTTTTTCCTTTTTGTAGAGTTTGCTTAGGCTTTTTCTACAAAAGCTACTCAGAGCGACAATTTCTTTATTTATTTTCATTCGATTACTACGGGGTTTACTACGGGCCTTTATCTTTATTTGGAGTTTGAGCTGCAATATGTATTTCCGCGTCCTCGCTTGAAGTTTAAAAAAAAACATTTTTTGCATAAAGATAGTAAAATTAGGTTCCCTAGCATCAGGTCGTTTCAAAAAATTAGATCTTTAAAAAATGATGGCGAACTGAAAAGGGGATACAATGGAATGAAAAGGAGATAGAAGTTCTGCAGTATCTTCTGATTTTGCTCTATCGCATCGTTACCTAGACTTCTTCGGAGTGTCGATATGAAAGTTTAGAAGAATCGCAAAACTTGACCATCTCAACAAGGTTGCAGATTTTGGTAATTTTCCGAAAGTTCATTGTTTATGCTGCAACGATTCAATCATTAGAAAGAGGTTGAAATGTGCTCGAATGCATTCAAGATCTCTTAGAAATAATTCTACGACATGTGGCGCTCATTTGAAGGAAGCGAACTTTCGGAACGACCCAATATATAACTAACCTGCTGGAAATACAAAATATCGCATCAAACTGAGTAAACTTTCATGCGACTATCAGGCTGTGTGGTCTTAGAAAATTTCTTTATCGCTATTTTACGAAAAAAATGGAGTGAGGCTTAACAGCTACAAAATAAGCGCAAAAAAGAGCTCCATTTAGGGATAGATACAAGTACGGCACGGTGAGATTCTCCAAGTAGAGTATAAAAAGAATTCCTGTTAGCTATAAGTCCGAAATGATACAGTGCGTGATGATAGAGTTCGTATAGGTAAACATGTGGTGGTGGTGGACCGCAAAAAGTCGATATGAGACGCTTAACGCAAACAGTAACTGATAATGTTGAGATCAAATTCATTTGTTTGCCCTTTATTTCCATAAAATGAAAAAGTGCATATCATTGCTTACATAGGGTCAAATCTATAAAGAGACCAAATTAGATACGTTAAGTATGTCAAACTTTCAACTCATCCAAAGTCATACAGTAATTATCATTTTCATATGCTTCAACACACAGCTATGTACGTCTATTCCTCTTTAAAAATCTTGTGAGACTTCTCGAAGCTACAGAAATGTTGCTTATCTGGAGTAACAAATTTTATCAATTTGTTGAAAACAAAAATTCCTAAGATGTTTGTCTCAGACGTTATCCTGATTACCATAGCGTATGTAAGGGAATAAGCACTTGTGCATTTAGCAACAGTTTTTCTTTTGACTGATTTTTTTCTTTATATTTTAGATTGCTCCAAATGCTTTGCCGAAGGACTGAGCATCTGGAAAAAATTTAAGGACCTGAGCTGAGTCATGATTGCTTGTCATTTTTACGATAATCTGCACTTGGGAATGTGTAACGCAAGAAAGTGTGTCCTCCCGTTTACTTTTTTTATGATCATAAAATATGTTCTCAAAGTATCACACACTCAAGTGTAGAACTTGTGATAAATTCAAGTATATCAAAAAAGCGAGAAGCAAAGACCAAACTATACTTAACTTTTATGAATCAATCTATTTATTTCGGTGTACATTTAGTATGCCGTAGGAATGAAAAAAAGATCAGAAACTGCGATAGGCTTAAAAAGCAGCCAGTAGCCCTATTAGGAAACAGAATTCAAATTTTGAGTCTGGTTCACTACAAATATTCTTTAACCTCAAAGTTGAGTGAAAGCATACAAACTTTACTGATCTTTGACGTCAAGACATGGGAAAGAAGTTTAGTTTATGGAGAAGAGAAGAGTTATGTTAGTTGCGCTAGTGATCATGGAACAACGCATTGCATAAAGTTGAATGTATGCAATTACGGAATCACCAAGACAACAGCAAAATGCAATAGTGGAACGACTTCCGGAACTCTGAGGCTAATTTTGTTTGTAAATAAAAACATGATGAACAATTTT